GCCGCTCTGGGGGATTCCGCAGCCCTCCGCCCCCGGTGCTGGGGCCCCCTCTGCGGGGCGCCATCGGGGATTCCGTATCCCTCCGCCCCCAGTGCTGGGGCCCCCTCTGCGGGGCGCCATCGGGGATTCCGTATCCCTCCGCCCCCAGTGCTGGGGCCCCCTCTGCGGGGCGCCATCGGGGATTCCGTATCCCTCCGCCCCCAGTGCTGGGGCCCCCTCTGCGGGGCGCCATCGGGGATTCCGTATCCCTCCGCCCCCAGTGCTGGGGCCCCCTCTGCGGGGCGCCATCGGGGATTCCGTATCCCTCCGCCCCCAGTGCTGGGGCCCCCTCTGCGGGGCGCTATCGGGGATTCCGTATCCCTCCGCCCCCAGTGCTGGGGCCCCCTCTGCGGGGCGCCATCGGGGATTCCGTATCCCTCCGCCCCCAGTGCTGGGGCCTCCTCTGCAGGGCGCTATCGGGGATTCCATATTCTCTTCTCACTCCCTAATACCAGCATTTCTGCAGGATGTGATGGGGCATTTCATACCCTCTCCCACTCTAGATCGGGGATTCCGTATCCCTCCGCCCCCAGTGCTGGGGCCCCCTCTGCGGGGCGCCATCGGGGATTCCGTATCCCTCCGCCCCCAGTGCTGGGGCCTCCTCTGCAGGGCGCTATCGGGGATTCCATATTCTCTTCTCACTCCCTAATACCAGCATTTCTGCAGGATGTGATGGGGCATTTCATACCCTCTCCCACTCTAGTGTGGACTCCCTACCCCTGGTGGTGGTGTGGGGGCTTTTGCAGCCCCTTCAAATCTTCCTCCGAGCCACTGCCCCTTCTCCCCTTTGCATGGGGTGGTGGTGTTGGTTCCTGGCTCTGCACTTGGTCACTGACACCTGTCTCTGTTTCTCTTTCCCGACAGCCTATTCCTAGTGCCTTTCCCTTTGGATGCTCCTACGGCCCGCCCTGTGGTCCCTCTTACCTCGCGTTTGCTCTTTTGGCACCATGAGCAGCAGCACGGGCACCTTCCACTTGCAGCAGCCGCTCAACTACCGGGCTGGGGCCCGAGTTCAGCCTGTGGATGGAAGCCACAGTGAGGAAGTGTATGAACCAGCTACAGGTAACTGCTTTTCATTCTAGTGGGGAAGGAGAGGTTTGGGATCCTGGATCCAAAGAGGAGCTGCTGTATTCTCAGTAGAAATTGCCTGAAGATGCATAACTTACTAGGGCCCCTGGCCTGGATTGGAATGCAAGATAGACACAGCTGATGAAATAGCACGCTCCATTGTGAGGCCCAGCTAATGCGGTATCTCCAAGTCACCCTCTATATAACTTGAGGAGACCAGGTGGGTGAGGTAATATCTTTTGTTGGATCAGCTCCTGTTGGTGAAAGAGACAAACTTCCATGCTTACCCAGTTTCTTTACTGGTCTCTTTCAGCAAGAGAAATTGGTCTACTAAAAGATATTATCTCCTTGTCTCTCTCCTAGCTACAACAGCGCTGCCTTCAACTTGGATAATATTACAAAGCTCGTCTTACCCATAAAGATGTTTTACCGGGTTTTTTTCCCCACGAGAACATTCTTAGGACAGAAAGAGGAGATACTATCTGACAGTCTTTCTTTCTCCTTAGTCCTTGTTACTGCAGCACACATTGCCAAACCCGTGGTAGTTAGGTGGCCTGGATTATCCATTCTGTTGCATCAACCTTGGGGATAGTTGGGTCCCAAGTCCTCATGTAGATGGAGATGAGGGCTCTTTCATACTTAACAGAAGAGAGTGAAATAACACAGGTGCTAACCAAATTCCTAGTGTGATGAGGTAGACAAGAAAGTGTGGACTTTCTTATCTCTAGCTGGGTGCCCTGCACTACTGCCACTTTGTGGGGTGCATAGACCTAGCTCTTCCCTTTGCCACCCCTGAATTTCCAACATCATGTGTTGTACTGCCAGCACCTCCGCTCCTCACATCTGTTGTATTGTCTGAGAATGTCTATAGATGCTGTACCATCAGGGTCGGCTTCAGGGAAAATGGCACCCTGGGCAACTTTGCATTTTAGTGCCCCTGTGGTCATGGTGCCCCTCATTGCTGGTCCTCCATGGGCTCCCTAGGCTCCCCACTCCCTGCACGTCCCTCCTATACCCATAGCCCTTGTGCTGTGCCCTCTTGGCTCCTAATGCCTGCACGTCCCTGCTGTGACCTTAACCCTTGCACAGTACCCCCTTCATTCCTACCTCCTGCACTTCTCTTCTGCACCCCCGTGGGGAAGCTAGCCCAACTGGATACACAAAGCAGCTGCTAGTGCTGCCGGCTCCCCCACTGGACTGCTTCTGCTTCACCCCAAGCAGCCCAGGGGGTGCACAAATAAAGGGAGGGGAGCACAGGGATGCCTCCGCCCAGGTGGGAGAGTGACAGGCAGACAGGGAGCCCTGGGGCGGAGGAGGGGGAGAAAGCGTGCATGCCTGAGTGCGCGAGGGCACTGAACACTCTGCATCAGGAGATTGCAGGCTTGTGTTCACACAAGCAACTGAGAGTGCAGCTCCAGCTCCAGAAAGGCAGCAGTGCACACAGATCCCCTGTCCCATTGCTCCAGCTCAGAGAGGGCGGAGAAGGAGTCACCCAACATGAGCCACCTGCCCCCCAGCGCAGCAGACAGGACAGTCCCCGTCCAGAGTGGTCAGGGCAGCTCTGGGGAGGAAAAGTGGGGAGGGGACAGGAATAACAATGGCTGCACATGTGGAGCAGGGGGAGAAGAGGGAGGAGAACCCCTGCTCTGGGGAGTTGGTTAGTTGTCCACCTGCCCCCTGCAGCTCAGCTCTTCCCTCCCCCAGTGCTGCTGCTCGCCTGCCTGCTGCCTCCACCAGACAGCTGTTCTCAGCGTGTCAAGTGGGGATCAAAATCCTACTCACAGCCGGGGTGGAAGTAATTTAAATTTCTTACAGATATTGTCATGTTGCAAACCCCTCCCTGGGGGATCCCTGAGGGCAGGAGGTTGGGAGAGGGGGTTATATGACAGTACCGGTAAGACACTAAACTGTGAAGGGAAGTGCAGAGGGCTTGGAGTAGGGGATGGGGTGCAGGAGTCAGGGTGGGGGAGTGCGAGGAGGGACTTGAGGCAGTGAGAACTGGGGATGTGGAGGGCTCAGGGCAGTAGGGCTGGAGATATAGGGGCTGCAGGAATCAGGGCAGGGGGTAGGGATGTGGGGAGCTCACGGCTGGTGTGTAGAGGGATGCAGGAGTTAGGGTTGTGTGTGGGGGGAGGGGCACAGGGCAGGGGGCAGAGGATGTGGGGGGTGCAGGGCTGGGGGTTCATGAGGGTGGGGGGGGGCTGACGTTCTGATTTTCAGAAGATACTGGGCACCCAGTCTCTGAAAGTCAGATCCATTCACAGTGTCTTAAGGTGGGGATTATCTTGAGATTACTCCCCGCCCTGGGAAAATCCTATTTCCAGCAGATCGCACTTGGGGCTAGAAGTATAACGGTCCTATTCCGATGCAATTTGTCTGTCACATGAGTATTTTAGCAAATAACACTTGGAATTAGTTTCAATACCAGAAGCTGGCCCAGTCCATACCATTCCCAACATGGGCAGCTCTGCCCTGCCTTCAGTAGAATGCCCGTTGACTTCAATGGAGGCTCCATGCAGCACTCCACAAGATGTGACCCTTGATGATACCAACAAACTCTTCCGGTACCTGGTACTGTCAGATGGCCTGTTCAAAATGTATTTCAAACGACAATGGTCTTGGAAGTCTGGGATTAAAAGGCTTTTGGGGGGAGGATGTTTGGAGGGGCGATGCTCTCACTAGTCCTACAGCATCAGTAGCGGGCGGAGACTCCTTAATCTTAGGAGGTAACAAGTGGGAGTCAAAGCTTGACAAAGTCAAACTGGAAATAAAGAGCAAAATTTGAACAGAAAAGTTGAAATGGTTCTCCACGGGCTGTGGTGGATTCTCTAGCACATGAAATCTTTAAATATGAGATTGGATGTCGTCTTAAAAGATGCTGTACTCCAACCACAAGCTGTTAGGCTCAGTATAGGAAATACGAGGTGAAAGTCTATATACAGGTCAGATTAGATTATCACAATGACTTTTTGGGGCCTTAAAATCTGTTCGCATAAATGCAAAGGCAGTTAGAGACAGAATAAACACTTCTTCCGATATTGTAAACCATGGTCACGTTGGTGCTACTCCTATAAATGCTTGTTGATAGCAAGGTTATTGGCAAAAATCTCTGAATGCAACCTATAAAGTATGAAGCTTCTTTCTTCTTAGGTCGAGTGATGGGCAAGTTTCTCTTCTCTGGGGAGAAGGAGGTGGATCTGGCTGTGCAGAGTGCCAAAGCTGCCTTTAAAATATGGAGCCAGAAATCAGGCATGGAGCGGAGCAGGATTATGCTGGAGGCTGCCAGGATTATCCGGGTACATGGTAGAGCTTTTCTCTTGTGGTGGACTGGAGTGGTCCTGTCCTTGATCCTCCTCCTCAGTTCTTTTAATATCCTGGACATCTTGCTGTTAGCCTGTGCTTGCAGCATTAGAGAAGACCACTAATGCAGTAACACTTAATCAAACTGCATGAATAATGCACAGTTTGAGAGTCACCTCTGATCAGCAGAGATGGTAGATTCCTTTGGGCAGGGCTGGACCCTCCGGTCTCATCCGGTCATTCAAGGCACCTTTGTTTGCATATGACGCTAGCTTAGTTTTTTGTCTTTCTCTTCAGCTCCTTCAGTGTGCCTGCTTCCCCTTTCTCTTGGGTCTCCCCTTTCCCAATGAATATAGATCAAATTTATGCCTGAGGTTGAGGTCTCTGGGTTGCTTGTCCCACTACTGCAGCTTCTGTGTCCTTGTAGCAAACTTAATTTTGTTTACAGCAGATGGATAAAAATCCATATAAGCTTCCTAGAAGTGTAACCTCTCAAAGTCCAGAACTCCTGTGCCTGCAGGAAACAGAGGGCATTATTCCTGCCTCTGCTTTTGTAACTGTTACACTGCCTTCTCTTCACAACTCCTAGGGGCTTGCTTATGCTTAGCTATGCCAAGCTGTAGCACTTAGTGAAGACGCTGCTAACACCAGTGGGAAGCACCATCCTTAAGATTTATGGGGCCCTACGCAGAACTATTGAACTGGTGCCTCTCTATCTGATGGCAGCCTGGGGTTGAGGGTGACAGTTTTTAGAGAGATGACTTTATAATCTTCAGCAACACACTAAAGAAAGTTTAAAATTTCCTTGAAAATATATGGTCCTGCCGACTAATGCAGTAAATTCAGAAACGGACAGTATATACCTGGCATTGGCAAATGCCTGTGAATGAAGCCATTTACCACTTGAATGGCTCTTTCATTGGTTCAGTGTTCTGCTATTAGCTCTGGCCGGCTTTGTCACTTTCAAGTCAACCAGATGGTCTCCAGATGCAGAAGAAGGGGATGGGTGGACATTAAGATCTAGTGAGGCCTCAAATTTCTGAGTGCCCTACACAACTGTGTGTTCTGCATATGGGTAAGGACATCCCTGCTGATGGGAGAGCGTCTCCTGTCGGTGTAGTCAATCCATCTGCTTGAGAGTTGGTAGCTGTGTTAGCAGGAGGAAACCCTCCTCTCAGGACGACGCTGTCTATGCTTGGAGTGAAGTCAGTATCATTGTGTTGCTCCAGCCGTGTGGATTTTCCACACTACAGAGCAACATAGTTATACCAGTTTTCAGACAGGTAGCCATGTTAGCAACAACAACAACGAGTCCAGTGGCCCTTGAAAGACTAATAATTCTATTAGAGTATTATACCAATGTAACTTCATAGCATAGTTTAAGAGTTAATGCAGTAACCCCGTGGCTGTGGTGCATTATTAAGAGTCACATTCTAGGTCAAATGACAGAATACTTGAACTGAAACGTATACTTGTCTGCTTTTCATGTTTGCCTCTGCTATATTTTTGGAGGGATTTGTGCTAATTTTTTCCTTCATAGTCCAGCTTCTACTATCCAACAGTGGAATCATGATACTAAGGAGGTTAAATTTAGATTAATCAACTAATCGAATAGTCGATGTAATTTGCATTGACTATTCATTTAGTTGATCTGGGTGCTTCTGCCTTTGAAATGTAGCAAGAGCCCTGCTGGCTCTTTTTACATTTCAAAGGCAGAAGTGCCGCTGGGAGCACAGCCAATGGGGGACTCAAGCCATCCCCCGCTGGCCCTGCCCTCCCTGCTTTTGAAATGTGCAAGAGCCCTCGCCCCAGCCACCCCACAGTGCTTCTGCTTTTGAAATGTTGCAAGACATTTCAAAGGGGGAAGCGCTGCTAGTTCTCCATTGAGCCCTGCCCCTTCTCCCCATGGAGACGGTGCTGGGGGGAGCCGGGCTTTAAGCCCCCCCCGTTTGCTGCCTCTCTCTGACAGAGGTGAGTAGTCAAATCACTAGTCAAATGCTTATTGGATAGTCGACTAGTCGCTCACATCCCTAATTAATCCCGTCTTCAGGGCAGTCTAGTGAAAAAGAGGATTTTGAACAGTAGTGTGGTGTGTTTTGTTTTTTGTTTTTTTTTTTTTAAATCAATGATTCTAGCTTCTTTACGCCCTTGGATTTTTCATTGCCTTGCTGTTTGCTGTTCTTCCCAACTTAGTATCATCTGTGAACTTCTTTAATATTCTCTCTGCTCCCACTTGAAAATCTAGATGATCAATACTTCTAAACGGAGATGTTAAGTAAGAGTAGACCTATGGCAGACCCAGCAGTCTTTACTCCCACTTGAAAATCTGGATGATCAATACATCTAAACGGGGATGTTAAGTAAGAGTAGACCTATGGCAGACCCAGCAGTCTTTGTTAGATGCAGCTCTACACCCAGCTTCACAGGTTGGCAAGCTGATAAATGGCAAGGGAAAAACATGCCTTGTAGAGTGCATTAGGACATCGCTAATGGCAAAGACTGCCTTCATCTGCATAAGGAAAGATGCTAGCATGCTGTGGGTGTTGCAACAGTCTGTCTAATGCTGGTCCTGTGTTGCACTTCTAGGAACGGAGGGAAGAAATTGCCACCATGGAAACCATCAATAATGGGAAATCCATCTTTGAAGCCAGAGTGGACATCGACATATCTTGGCAGTGTCTGGAGTATTATGCAGGTTTAGCGGGGGCGATCGCAGGTGAGAGCTATGCTAGTCACTGGGCCTCATTTCTGTCCCCAGCTGTGAGGTGAACACCAGTACACTGCAATGATCACTTAGCTAAATGTTGACCAGCCTTAGGGCCACTAGAAAGTCCCTGGCTATTTGGAATAGTGTAGAACTTTGGCTTCAGATACCATGTTTCCTGTCCCAGGTATCCCAACACATTATGCGGTGGTGCATTAGAGATGGAAGGGAGGGAATTGTGTCCCGCTTTAAAACCCATGTGACTCCATTGACTTTAAGCAGGAGTGCATGGGGATTAAACTGAGCTAGAATTTGGCTCAGGGAATGTGGTGACCAAGTAAACAAGGCAGCCATTCTCCACGTAGCAAGAGTCCATTTGCACTCATGCTGATTGTGACGGGGAAAGGCAGCTGGCCATACCTTTAGTGATATTGCCGGCTTCTTTTTCAAAGTGCAGTGGGATTTTCAGCTTCTACCCAGACAGTGAGCTGTACTCAGATGCTGTACCAAGATTTAATGTCTTCTCTTAAAGGTGGCTCTGCTGGCAATCTTTAAGGTGAGAGCACAGCCCTCAATAATATAAGTGGGTGAGACTGTAGTAAAACAGCTCACAAATGGAAGTTATGTTTCTTTTTTGTTTTATATCCAGAGGCCAAATTCATGTTATCCAGGCCTAAAAGCCCCAGGTGATATCAGAACCCCATTCTGCTAGGGGCTGTTTATACATGGAGTGAGAGAATTCCTCCTGTGAAGGACTTGCAGCATAAACAGACAAGACAAAGGGCGAGGAGACAGGCTTATTATCTTTGTTTTACAGATGAAGAAATTGAGGCACAGAAAGATGTCACCTGCCCAAAGTCAAACAGGGAGTCTGACAAAACTGATCATCCCGATCTCAGGCCCAGTGCCTTAACCAGAAGATCGTTGTGCCCTTATTGGTATAACCAAGTGCAGCTGGTTTCAGTGGGCTTGCGGGCACCCACCTGAGCTGGCAGAGAATTGTCTCTAGTCTCTCTCCTTTGCTAGTTTCTGTGGCATTGTGAGTGTTTCACTCAGTCTCTGAGGTGGATCCACTCCTTGAGTTAATATCTTGAGTTCTTTGGATAGATCCCGTTCAGTCTAGGGGGCAATTGCAAACCTGTTAGCAGAGAGGGCTTTGCTAGATCCCACTTCGGCAGAGGGGCAGGAAAGTTGGCCTGAAGCTGTCTTAGGGCTGGAAAGGGTTTTGTTAGTTTGTGCTCATCTAACACCATCTGTTCTCATCCACCTGTATTTCTCCCTGCCCAGGTCAGCATGTCCAGCTTCCCGGGGGGTCCTTTGCTTATACCCGAAGAGAGGCACTTGGAGTGTGTGTTGGGATTGGAGCCTGGAACTACCCCTTTCAGATTGCCTGTTGGAAGTCGGCTCCAGCCTTGGCTTGTGGTAATGGGAACTCCCCTCCCCCCCCATCTGTGCAGGTTTCTTTGATGTGGGTGATAATGTGGTGGAGGACAGTCCGGTCAAGGGTTCATGAGCTAAGAGCCGTTAGTGGGTGGTGAAGGATCTGTTTGTCTTAGGTCTGTTCAGAAGACATGCTTGTTTTGGCAGGAACATGACTTAGTTGGGGTTGGTCTTGCTTTGAGCAGGGGTTGGCCTAAATGACCTGCTGAGGTCTCTTCCACCCCTAGTCTTCTATGAGGAAGCAGGTGCTTTTATTGCCTCCCACCAAATAGGTAAGGGTTTCAGTGAGAGTGTTTTGGGAGCCGTGTCTGTACACCTCTTGGGATCAAAAGGGACAAAATTGCCAGTTACTCTCCTGTTGTCCGTTTCTTTGCAAATTCCATCCTCCTGCTGGAGAGTGAGATGTTTGCACATGCATTCCCTCCACCTCCCTGTCCCCAGTGTGTCTCGGGTCTGAACACCCTGCTTTCCCCCCTGCTCTTGTGTTGATTCTCCTAGGGAATGCCATGATCTACAAGCCATCTCCCCTCACCCCCATCTCAGTGGTGATGCTGGCAGAGATCTTCACCCAGGCTGGTGTGCCCAATGGGCTATTCAGTGTGGTGCAAGGGGGAGCTGCCACTGGCCAATTTCTGTGCCAGCACCGGGATGTGGCCAAAGTCTCTTTCACGGGGAGCGTGCCAACTGGTATCAAGGTAAAGACCCTTCTGCACTAAGGGTGGGCAAAGGGCTTCTGACTGTGGCACAAATACCAGGGGACATGGTATGTTGCAGCGGCCGGTCCTCCCACAAGCTGCTTGCCCTGGGGAATGGCTGGTTGCATGGGCATGACTTACTGCTAATCTGATGTGGCACAGAAATGTCTGGGAGAAGGCTGAGCAGATGCTATTAGGGTCTGCCTGGCGTACGAGTCGGGGGAGGGCCTCGAAGGCTGCTTCTGCTAGTGTTTTAAACCTGTTCTGACCTGGTGAAGAGCGGGTTCTCTGGCAGGGAAGAAATACAGGTCTCAAAATGGGTAAACCTGGGTCAGGACGTGTTTGAACTAAGCAGCAAGACAACATGTGAGAAGTCCTGGAAACTAATATGTTCCCCTCCAGTCTTGTGAAACGAATATGCAGAGACCCCTTTTTTCCTAGGAGACGGAGGGTAGCAATCACCGTGAGTCACTGGACAGCTGCTTACCTTGCAGTGGTATCTTGGGGAATAAGTAGGATTAAACCCTGAGCTACAGCGAATGCTGCTCCTAGGCATGCAGTGAGACCGTTCGCTCTTCCTGGGCCACGTGATCCTGGAACGCCAGGACGTCCCAATGGAGCACCAAGCAGCGATCCTCCGTTCCAAACTGACACTGGCCACTTCCTGAGGGGGAGGGGATTTCGTTCATTCCCCTCAGTCTGTAGCTGCTGCATTTTCGGAAGCAAACAAACAAACCTCCCTGCTCCCCCCCAGTCTGTAGCAAAGCCTCTCTGCTGCGAAACCAGAGTCCTTGTCCCTCCTCCCTGCTTCCCCCACCCCCTCCCAGTCTGTGGCAAAGCCTCTCTGCTGCGAAACCAGAGTCCTTGTCCGTTCTGTGAGGCTGGCGAGGCTCCAGAGAGACCTGAGAGTAGAGTAGCACAGCACAGACTGGGTCACTGCTTCTGGTATTGTAGGTATTTTCAGACACATCCGCATGCCCTGCTAGTCTAGGTGATGTGCAGCCTGGGTGTGTCTGGACTTTGCGTGACATTAGTCAATTGCATGTTCTGATTTACACACCCTTACATCTGTGAATTTAACATGCACAGCTCTTTGGGTTTCATCTTACCATTTGAATCCGCAAAAGATCTCTTGACTGCAGCAGCCTGGAAGCAGCACTGAGCACCCCCCACTACAAAAACCTGTCCCTAACGGCCTGGATGCGCAAAGGGCGGGTATGTGGGCAGGCAGTGAATTGCTCCTCTCACCCCCCTTCTCTAGGGAGTGTGGGTATTTGTGGTCGCTGTGGCCCTTCTGGACCAGACGGGGCACTCCCTGGCACCCTGGTTTGTTCATCCTGTCCCTTCTCCCTTTGTATTAGATCATGGAGATGTCGGCCAAAGGGATCAAACCAGTCACTCTGGAGCTGGGTGGCAAATCCCCCCTCATCATATTCTCTGATAGCGTCCTGGAGAATGCTGTGAACGGAGCCCTCATGGCCAACTTCCTCACGCAGGGCGAGGTGCGTAGCTCCAAGGGCATGCGACTGCCTCCTGCTTAGTCTCTGCTGGGGAGAGGGCAGCAAAGCTATTCTTGGGTTGAGGGGTCCATCCTGTCTCCCTCCTCATCTCCAGTCGCATCGCCACTACAGCGATTGAGGTCCCAACGTACTCAAGTTGGGTTCCCCCTCCTCGAGCGGGATAGAACTGCCCCGAGGAGCAGTGTATGGATGGAGCCTGGGTAGGAGGCTAAGGCTGTTTCGCAGGCTTGGGGAAGGGCACACAGTAAAGCCCCGCGTGAGACTACAGCAGGACTGGGATCCCGCAGAGCCCACTGCCAGAGGAGCAGGGATTAAAACCAGTCCTGCAAATAGCTCCAGCACACCCTGGTTGAGGGGATCCTCCTGGGTGCTGCCTACAGCAAGAATCTTGGTAGCGGGCAAACGGGGCTTTGAGTGCCTGCTCTCGTGCCTCTTTCACTCGCTTCAGGAGGTAATGTTGTTCCCTGGGGTGGAGGTGGTTGCTCCGGGAGCTGCTTTTTTGGGTTGGTACCTTACCCAGATCCACCATTCCTGCAGCTTGGCTCCCGGAATCCAGCCTGGCGCACAGAGATCTGAGCGTGAGGCTCTGCTGCCCCATTTGTGGCCTCCTAGCATTCCGGTTACTGACTAGACCAGCTGCTGAGAGTCTGCAGCAGGGAGCTGATAATACTCTGTCCCGCCCCCATACCTATCTGTAAGAGGTTACTTAGCCCCAGGGACACATGAGCATTTTCTGTAATCTCTGTGGCCAAGGGAGCCAACAGGATTTGTGGGCGTGGGTACTGTGTCTATGGGTGGGGCCAGCTTCACACTCCCCCAAAGGGGCAGGCCCTTGGGCAGAAGGGGTGGGGCTTGGCAACCAGTCCCCAGTGCTGCCTGGATGGCCCGGTGCAGGGTCCCCGTCTGCTGGCCCTCAGAGCCGGCTGGAGCACATGGCTCAATGATTCTAAAGGTCTTGGAGCTCCAGCTGCTGCAGGAGCCCCGGGCACCTGTCCCTTTTGCGCACCCCTCTTGGCAGGCCTGTCTGCCATCAGACTGGCTACATGCTTAAGTGTCCCTTTGGGGTCTGAGCAGCCAGCTCGGATCATATTGCTCACCACTTGGTGGCAGCGAGGGAGCTAAAGTACTTGGCTGTGATGTGTTCAGCGGTGAGGGGCTGAACAACCGGAATCCAGCCTGGCGCACAGAGGTCCGAACGTGAGGCTCTGCTATCCCATTTGTGGCCTCCTAGGATTCCAGTTACTGGCTAGACCGGCTGCTGGGAGTCTGCAGCAGCGTGGGGCTTCCCCTTGGCCCTGGCCTGAGCTGCAGAAGGCTGTTCATTTCTGTACTGTCTGAGTAGCCCTGGCGTTGGGAAGGATGGCTCCTAGGCTGGATTGAGCTCCTCTCTAATCAGTCAGATTGGCACGCAGGCAGCAGCCATGTTGGTGGCTCAGAGGGAGCTGGTGTTGGTGAGAAAAGGAGCGTGAATGTTTGCGCTGACTCCCAATGTGCCTGAGGGAAAATCCTGAGGGGGTTAAACTTGGTACGTTGCTCACTTTGTAGCCACTGGCAGCCGAATCCCATTCCTGGGAGGTAGTGTAAGTGAAACAAGTGGTGCATGAGCTGCTTCCGTGGTGGGGTCACGTGCCACGTGGGGGACCCTAGTGTGTCACATACCCTTCTCCACCCGAACAGCCTGGTATAAGGCAGTGCTGATTTCGATGTCTCAGGTTTGCTGCAACGGCACACGAGTGTTTGTGCAGAGGGAGATCCTGAAGGCCTTCACGGAGGAAGTGGTGAAACGCACCCAGAAGATTAAAATTGGAGACCCGCTTCTGGAAGACACAAGGATGGGGGCCCTCATCAGCCGCCCACACCTGGAGCGAGTCTTGGGGTTCATTTCGCAGGCGAAGGAGCAGGTGAGAGCATCCGGCTTTCTTGGGTTTGGGAAGGCTTGTTGGAAAGAATCACATGCTGGGGAAAGGATTTTCCTCCTCTGCTGTTAGAGAGCGTGTTCTCCCTAACTTTTCTAGGCTGAAGCCCTCTCCTTGCTGTGGTTGAATATCTTCCTGGTTAACATGGCACTGAGAGAGTGAGCAACCAAGGGTCAGGTCCCTAACTGGTATAAAGTGGCACAGCTCTGCTGGAGGAATGCTGCTTTGCACCAGCCAAGGGTTGGTCCAGACTTACTACATGCAGGCTAGAGCTGGAATGCTGCTTTGCACCAGCCACGGGTTGGTCCAGACTTACTACATGCAGGCTAGAGTCCACCCATGCTCTTTGTGCAAACTTCCCTCCCAGTTGGATCTCTGCTGTGGGCTGGGAGGAGAACGTTGCCCTGAATTTGGCTCTCTCCCCAGAACGGGTCTGACGGTCCTGGTTTCAAGTTTAACTGCAGAGCTCTTTGTTTAACATGCCAGGCCAGTAACAGATCACCTGGGCAGATTCCAATTACAGCTTGCTGAGCTCTTCAGACAGAGCAGCGGGAAATGCATTCTTCTAGCCACAGGCCAAGAGGAGGGCTCTGACATACTAACAAGGGACTGCAGCTCCTGGCTCCACCAGCCATGTTTGCCGTTCTCTGGTTACAGATGAGATTGCTGAGCCCTGAACTTTGGACCCTGGCCAGCTCTTAGTAGCAACGCCGGAAAACAGGCTTCTCCGTTGGCTGCCTGTTGCTGCACCTGGGCGCCGTGTTTTCTGGCTGTGGCCTGGGGAGCAGCAGGCAATCTGCGGGCTTTGAGTGACTCTGCACTCCAGGGTTTTCAGTGCTTATTGCTGGGTGGTTTCATTGTTTAAAAATCACATGCTCAAGCCACGGGCGATGGGTGTGTGCGAGCGCCAGTAGAGCAGGCTTCCCAGAATGCATCTGGCTAGTGACATGCTGCTTAGATGTGTGACTAGCCAGCATCTCAGTGTGTGTCCAGACTCTTAGAGGAGCCCGGAGGGGAGAGGTCATCCCTGCTGGAGGTGAAGGATGCAAAATACCCTTGGGATTCCAGCCTGGCTTTACTGAACCATTGGTGCAAGCTGCGGCTGTTCCCCCGCACTTTGTAGGCATGCAGGGAAGGAGGGAGGCTTCCTGCTCTTTGGGGCCTGCCCTGTCACTGGGAGCTGCCTGGCCAGGTCTCCACATCACCACTGGGTGCCAGCTCCTGTTCTTAGTCTCCCAAGGATTCCAGGGGCTTCAGCTCCCTTAGAAGCCGATTAGACTGTTGCCATTCCCTCGGGAATCCCTTGTTCCTGTGACTGTAGCCTACTCCAGCCACCTGAGGCTGCCTCTTAAGGCCCTGGCTGCTGCGGGCCAGCAGGCCCATTGAGGCGTTGTGCTGGCTCTGACACCTGTATCTTCTGGGATGGCTCGCTTTCAGGGGGCGACGGTGCTGTGCGGTGGGGATCCATACGTTCCTGAGGACCCCAAGCTGAAGAATGGCTACTACATGCGACCGTGTGTGCTAGGTAAGATCCTCTTCAGCTCCATGGAGCTGTCTCCCCTGCGTAGGATGGTGCTAACGAACTCCTGAGCTCAGTCAGACCCTCTGCCTAAAGGGGAGCTGGGGAAAGGCATCCCTCTTCTCAGAGGGACCCAGCTGCCTGAGCTACACAAGCTAACACGTTGTACACTAGAGGCTAAGATCAGTGGTGGGTTGTGTCTCTGGCAGCGACCAGAATCTTGCGCTTCAGGGGAAGGTGTGTTACATCCCCAGTATGGACAACTGCAAGAGAACTGGCCCAAAGTGGGGGGAGGTGGAATTTCTCCCTGCTCCTGAGCAGATAGTGCTCGCTCTCTCCCAAGTTGATATCCCTTTCAGAAACTTTCTCCAGGTAGTTTGGGTGCCAGAGAAGCTAACTCTTCCTGAACTGCACCGGGCCCTGCAAGCAATGTAGCTGATGGATTCAGGCACAGTGCAAGGCAGGCAGGGTTCATAGGTTGATGGGCTTTGATCGGGCACAGGGACATAGTGGCCTTGACAGAGAAGTGCTTCGGGTTGGAGCCCAGTAGAATGATTCGTCAGAGGGACTGGCCATGTCATGTACAGCTGGGGTGGGGCTACGGTTATACATATGGAATTCACTGCTGCAAGTACAAGTGTGCTGCAATGCTTTCAGGGGACTGCCAGGACGACATGACGTGTGTGAAAGAGGAGATCTTTGGGCCTGTCATGTCCATCCTGCCATTTGACACGGAGGAAGAAGTCCTGGAGAGAGCCAATAACACCACCTTTGGGCTGGCAGGTGGTGTCTTTACCAGGTACAGGTTGGGGGGCAGCACTCAGCCCTTGCAATGCCCTAGGCATAGGGGAAGTCGTGGTGGTAACTGTGCACCATGGATGCTCTTGCCTAACAGCCACTGAGGAGCAAGATGGCTCAGATAAGGACAGAATACTATTATTTGTAGTATAGTAGCACCCAGAGTCCTGGGAATCTTTGTGAGAGATGCCATACAAAACCTGGAACAAAAGGCAGTCCTTGCCTCTAACTCTTCGCTGGCCATGTAGTCTCCGGTGTTGTTTGTATTCCCGCTGGGATCGGAGTCCCCCTGTGCAGACAATAGGAAACAAGGCCTGCCCCAAGGAGCTTGTAACACACAGTGCACCATGCCAAGAGCATAGACCAGTGTTTCCCAACCAGTGGGATGAGTGCCTTTAGAGGTACGTCAACACAACTGAAATTTGGAGAAATCTTTGTTTTAAGTTTTACAGCGCTTTATTTTTGTACTTTTTTACACCCAAACATTTCATTGCCCACCCAGCTATGATTAAGTTGTTTAAACAAATGTGTTGTAGTGGCAGAAAAAAAGTTCTGTCTATAAACTGGGGGTACTTATTTTTTTTTTTTGGTAAAGGGGTACTTTATAAAAAAGGTTGACACACTGGTATAGACCTTGTAAATAACAGTCTTGTCTCCCTCCTCTCCCCCCCCCCCCCCCCCGCATCCCCCTTCTGTTCTGAAATGTGATTTGTCCTTTTCATATTTGTTCACTCTGCCTCCTTTTGGGGCTCATGCATACAGTGTTCAAAGGCAGCTCTTGCCTGCTTTCCCCTGCAGTGGTGTGGGAGAAGCCTGCCAGCCAATCTAGTCCTGCTAGCTTGTAATTAAGTTCTGCACTAGGTTTCCTGGCAATGGGGTGCTTCTCTCCTAGGGATCAAAGCCACTGCCTGCAGCCTTGAGTTGCATGCCCTGGTCCACAGCACTGCTGCTGGGCATGAGGTGTGAAGGATGGGAGGATCAGCGTGGAAGGGAAGGCTCTTGCTAACCCTTGTTCTTCTCCCCCAGGGATATCCAGAGGGCTCACAGGGTGGTGGCTGCTCTCCAGGCTGGAATGTGCTTCATCAACAACTATAATATCAGCCCCGTGGAGCTGCCCTTTGGAGGGTACAAGATGTCAGGTGAGCAAGGCACCGGCTCTGTTAACCTTATTCCGATAAGCTGGAGGTTAGTCCTTACTCCTGTGATGACAGGACCTGGCGGTGTCTTCCTCAGCTGGGAGATTGGGATGGGGGGCTGCTATTCTGAGCACCTATCCCTCAAGTCCCCAGGCTGCAGTTAGAAACGGGCAGGAGGTTGGTGAGGGGGCTGCCGTGTTGCCTACAGAGAAGTCACCGGAGAGTACTGGACGTAGCCTAACCTGGCTCTTAGCTCAGAGCTGACTCAGCTACTCCCTCTAGGCACAACTCGAAATACTTGTCTCCAGCGGGGCAGTGGTCTGTAGGGCTGTGCTCTGACCCTATCGCTGGAGCAGGCAGTGACAGCAGGGTGGGGGCACTGCTGTCTCACTCCTGGGTGTGGTGTTTCCCCTCCAGGGTTCGGCAGAGAGAATGGCCAGGCAGCAATGGAGTACTACTCGCAGCTGAAAACCGTCTGCGTGGAGATGGGTGACGTGGAGTCGGTGTTCTAAGGACGGGCTGTTCCACGCCACTGCTGCTAGCTCTTTCCAGGGGCAGTGCCAAAGGGGGAAGCTGGCTGGGGGCAGTGTGCTGCAATCCTACTCGCTTGTAAGGGAGGGATGGGTGTGGCTAACATTGGGGGGGGGGGGGCTGT